GAACTAACGAAAATATTGGAGAACTATCGAGGACTAACGATTGTCGATTGGTATATAGATGTAAGCATTTTTCATCAGAAAACGGCGCGCGCTAGAAACCGGAAGTGTGAGGTTAGCATACCCACTTATTATCAGCTATAACTTTTTTATTTATTGATTACATTCTTTTACATTTATTTTTACATTTTACATTTCTTTTACATTTTTTTGATTACTTTTTTTTATTTATTACATTCTTTATGGTATAGAGCTTTATGGCGCAACATCAATTATTAATCTACAAAGAATCCTACATTTTCAAAAAGTTGCAATTAGGACTATGCTTAAGCTTCCTGATGATGATCATTGTAGAGATCATTTTTGTAATCTGAAAATTATGACTGTCTTTAGTCTTTATATTTATAGAACAGTATTACATGTAAAAAATAATTAAGAGACTTTGCCAAGACAACGAAATGTTCACACATATAATACAAGATATTGGGAAAATTTTCAAATTAATATTTCAAAAAAAGATATTTCAAACAAAAATCCAACTGTTTCTGGGATAAAATATTATAACTACCTTCCTGAAATCATAAAATCTGAAAAGAGTTTGAAATGTTGTGAAAGGAAATTAAAAAGATTTCTAGCGGCCAAAGCGCTATACAGTTTTGAGGAATTTTTTATTGTTTAATGTCATTTAAATAAATATTTATTTATTTTATATATATGTATAATGTATCACTTTTCTATCTAGTTACTAGGCGATATAATGTATTATGTATTGTTCTGAACGCCATTCATGTATACTTTTGTATATCTGTGAATAAAGTATCTTTGAATTGAATTGAATTGAGAACTAACGAAAATATTAAGGAACTATCGAGACTTCACGGACCTATTGCTGACAACTAATTCACTTACCAAGAGAAATAACCACTTTCTTGCAATCCACCCTCACGCCGAGCTTGATCGGACATCTGCCGGACGAAAACTAGCGCCAACGGACATCACGCTGGTTGGAAACCGTAGCTTTAGGGTAGGGATGGACGAGATTGGATTTTTAGTTCGAGACGAGACGAGACGAGATTTTTTATTTCTCATAAAATTTCGAGACAAGATCGAGACGGGATTTCCCTTCTCATACACAACGGGAAATGCACGTTCGGAATTTTTACCTGATTTTGTAACATTGTTAGATGACTGTTTAAATACAAAAATAATGATAATAGGCAAGAATATTTACAATCTTTTATTAAAAAAACATCAGCATAACATTTTTTTATTAATCACGCCTAAATTATTAAAAATGCCTACGATTAGGAAACATAGTGATATCAGTTAGGATAGAGTTCAACTTATCCTAAAATAAAATAAATCATAAAATAAAATATTAATTTTTATAAAATAGTTACTTGTTTTGACTTTTTTTATAGTAGTAAAACATTCTTCACACTGCTAACATTTAACAAAACTTCTCAAATGTTATTAAAATAATAAAAGTAATATTTACATTTGAAGAATTAATTAAATAAGAACGCCTTCGCAAAGGAAACGCAACTACAACACGCTCCTGTATTGCGGGTATTGCATTGACTTTCTGCAGGCGTTTTTATTTATTTATTTATTTTATTTTATTTTTTTTTTTTTATAAATTCTTGTCTCGATAAAAATCTCGGCCAAAAAGAAATCTCGTCTCGTGTAACGAGATTTTAAATTTCCCGAAAATTTCCCGAAATTTCGAGACTTGACCATCCCTACTTTAGGGTAATTCATTCACAAAAATGACATGATACAATATTGACAGCACTGTTCCCCATCCTTATATATAATTCTGTAAGACAAAATTTTTACCAGAAAATTGTGGACGACTGGTATGTCGTAGAAAAGTGGTAGAGGTCTTAAATTAAAGGTCTTGACCCCAGGGACTCGGGAAAAATAGCATAATTTCCGTAAAGTTACCAGAAAACGAGATATAACGTAAAATGTTCTCCATAAGAAATGCATGGGGACTGAAAAACGTCTGCATTCTATCAGCTGTTACTTATTTATTTGCAATGTTTACATTTATTCCGAAAGTCAATGTTGGTAAATAATGTTTAAAAATGAATTGTGTTTAATTTTTTCCGTTTTTATAATGAGTGAAGTAACTAGACAGGGTAGGGGAACACCTGCAAGACGTGGAAGAGTGTCCAGGAATTCAACAGACTTAAGAAATGGAAAAGAGCACGTCATGTAGGGCCTAACGGTGAAAGAACCCCAGAAGCTGTTTTACGACGTCCTGTCTTTAGAAGAACGATGGAAAATGAGTTGAGAGTTGTTTCTCACAATCTAGGTCCTCTTAAAGCACTTGCATGCATTGTGGCACATTTCACTTCGCAGAGGAGGCTACAAATGGGCATTTCAACGCATGTTGCCACAATGGACATGCCACAACCACAAGTAAGTGACGAACTAAAAGAACTGTTTTTACATGATTCGAACTTCATAAAAAACATAAGGCAATACAACAGTGCAATGGCTTTTGCGTCGCTTTCCGCTACACAATAAGAGATTCCAGGAAATGGGCCTTACTGTCTTAAAATTCAGGGACAAAGTCATAGATATATAATTCTGACTGACTTACTACCGCGAAATGGGGAGTTACCTTCATAATAATTCATAATAATTTTAACCTTTAAATTTGGTTCTCAAAATGGAAACTATAATAAAATTCGTAATATTACAAAACAAATCTTCAATTTTAAACTAGAAAAGATGTGCAATGTTTGGCTGTATGATTTCAGCTCTGATTCGTCGTTCTCCGGGCTTAGGCCAAACCGTGTGCACGTTTCCATTTGTTAATATGTTGTGTTATTGATTTAATCATTATTTTACAATTGTATTTCATTGGCACATCAAAAGCAACTATTATACGACTCCAACGGAAGGAAAACCAAGATATAAAACAAGAAACACTGTTAATTTGAAGTAACATTAAATTGATAATTTTAAAAACATATTTCTAATATTTGTCTTTTTATATATGGTTTTTTTTTTATTGTAGTCTAAATTAGGGGCTATGGCCCCTACAGGCCACTAGTATTAAATATATGCCTAATCCACGAGCACAGATATAAAAGTCAAATCCCCTTCAACAGGGTTCTATTAGTTAATTGTAAAACGTATAAGTTATTTTAAAATTAACATGCTAACAACTTTTTAATAAGTTTCTAATTTAATTTTCTTTATTATTTAATGGGCGTAGTTTTAATGATAATTAATACCATAAATCCAGTGATAGTTTACCTTGAACACCAGTGCAGTAAGGACTGTTGGGGTCCATGTTTATAACAAAGAACTCATGGGACACTCCAGGGATAGTTTACCTTGAACACCAGTGCAGTAAGGACTGTTGGGGTCCATGTTTACAAAGAACTCATGGGACACTCCAGTGATAGTTTACCTTGAACACCAGTGCAGTAAGGACTGTTGGGGTCCATGTTTACAAAGAACTCATGGGACACTCCAGTGATAGTTTACCTTGAACACCAGTGCAGTAAGGACTGTTGGGGTCCATGTTTACAAAGAACTCATGGGACACTCCAGTGATAATTTACCTTGAACACCAGTGCAGTAAGGACTGTTGGGGTCCATGTTTACAAAGAACTCATGGGACACTCCAGTGATAGTTTACCAGGTTTACCTTGAACACCAGTGCAGTAAGGACTGTTGGGGTCCATGTTTACAAAGAACTCATGGGACACTCCAGTGATAGTTTACCTTGAACACCAGTGCAGTAAGGACTGTTGGGGTCCATGTTTATAACAAAGAACTCATGGGACACTCCAGTGATAGTTTACCTTGAACACCAGTGCAGTAAGGACTGTTGGGGTCCATGTTTACAAAGAACTCATGGGACACTCCAGTGATAGTTTACCTTGAAGACCAGTGCAGTAAGGACTGTTGGGGTCCATGTTTACAAAGAACTCATGGGACACTCCAGTGATAGTTTACCTTGAACACCAGTGCAGTAAGGACTGTTGGGGTCCATGTTTACAAAGAACTCATGGGACACTCCAGTGATAGTTTACCTTGAACACCAGTGCAGTAAGGACTGTTGGGGTCCATGTTTACAAAGAACTCATGGGACACTCCAGTGATAATTTACCTTGAACACCAGTGCAGTAAGGACTGTTGGGGTCCATGTTTACAAAGAACTCATGGGACACTCCAGTGATAGTTTACCAGGTTTACCTTGAACACCAGTGCAGTAAGGACTGTTGGGGTCCATGTTTACAAAGAACTCATGGGACACTCCAGTGATAGTTTACCTTGAACACCAGTGCAGTAAGGACTGTTGGGGTCCATGTTTACAAAGAACTCATGGGACACTCCAGTGATAATTTACCTTGAACACCAGTGCAGTAAGGACTGTTGGGGTCCATGTTTACAAAGAACTCATGGGACACTCCAGTGATAATTTACCTTGAACACCAGTGCAGTAAGGACTGTTGGGGTCCATGTTTACAAAGAACTCATGGGACACTCCAGTGATAGTTTACCAGGTTTACCTTGAACACCAGTGCAGTAAGGACTGTTGGGGTCCATGTTTACAAAGAACTCATGGGACACTCCAGTGATAGTTTACCTTGAACACCAGTGCAGTAAGGACTGTTGGGGTCCATGTTTACAAAGAACTCATGGGACACTCCAGTGATAGTTTACCTTGAACACCAGTGCAGTAAGGACTGTTGGGGTCCATGTTTACAAAGAACTCATGGGACACTCCAGTGATAGTTTACCTTGAACACCAGTGCAGTAAGGACTGTTGGGGTCCATGTTTACAAAGAACTCATGGGACACTCCAGTGATAGTTTACCTTGAACACCAGTGCAGTAAGGACTGTTGGGGTCCATGTTTACAAAGAACTCATGGGACACTCCAGTGATAGTTTACCTTGAACACCAGTGCAGTAAGGACTGTTGGGGTCCATGTTTATAACAAAGAACTCATGGGACACTCCAGTGATAGTTTACCTTGAACACCAGTGCAGTAAGGACTATTGGGGTCCATGTTTACAAAGAACTCATGGGACACTCTGCCGTCAGGTGGAAGTCGAGCTCCAAAACCCAAAACAGGAAACATCTTGTCACTGTCGTAGTCCTGTATGATGGAGCCTACAGCGGTGATTGCCTGCTCATAGCAATTTGGCATCGGGCCGATGAAGTGCAACGATTCTGGTTTTGTAGGATCTCCATTGGATCCTGTGTAACAAAAGATACTTGTTAATAACAGAGATAGTACATGCTGTTCAGTTCATACTAATCTTATGGGTACTGGTTAGTGGTTAGTTACAGAGATAAGTAATGAATATGACTTATATTTTAAGTAGTCAAAGATTAAAATAAAAAACTTTGAGTGAATAGTTACGGATATCGGTAGGATGTTACATCAGTACAAGATGCTAAATCAAATACTGTGCTACGCTGATGCAAATAGGGGCAGTGAATAACTGCTCATCACAGGGGTTCTGTCTATTTTATGTGGTAGTATTTAGTTTACTCCGATGTTTTTCGCTAGCATATTTTCTTTATTACACACTGCCCTTCACAAGATGGCTTTGTTATTCCCCTATTAGTAGATCAACACTCTTTTACTGTGCCAAATATGTAAGTACTAGGTGAAACCCGTCAAAATTTACGGTTAATTTAAAGGATTTCACTAATTCATCCAATTGCGATAAATAGCGTGAAATTTTAAAAATTTTGGACACTTAACTCTTTAGCTTTTTTAAATTACCTAGTAATAAATGTAAAAAAAATAATGACTATTGCGTTAGTAACAAAATATGGTTGATCATTCAATGAATAGACTATTTCCCATACCGTACGTCATCGGAGTTAATATTACAATGTTAACTGGTTTCTCTTCTTTTGGAAGTACCTTAAATAAAATCTTAAAACCCTATAATTTTGCAGTGTAAAAAAAAAATTGGGGCACCCACATTTTAACTGGGTAGATGATCTGGGACCTCCCGGCATGGATTAAAAAAAGAATTTGGGGGGGATTCTGCGACGCGGGCTTTGGGGGGATGGTCACACCCCTGTAATACAAATATCCTGAAAACCTACTGATGGCTTAATCAACTCCACCATTGCACTTTAGTAGCCTAGAAGTGATCACACTGCAAATACATTGACAAATAGTATGTTAGATATTGCCAATGACGATCAATTACACACTCTTACCCGTAAAGTCGATTGCGATTGAGCAGTGCAATTGTGTCCCACCCTTGATGTAGTCCATGAAAGAGTAGATAGGCTTCAGTTCAAATATCTCCAAAACAACTTCCCCAGAATGAGAGTACTTTTCCCTTTTGCGGACCTAAACATTGTTTTTATTAAACAATAATAAATTAAAAAATAAACAAATTTGAAATAGTGTTAATCTTCTTCTCTTAAAAAATGCAGTTTTAAGTTACAATGTATTGTTAAATATAATTTTTAACTGAGGTAAGAATGAAGGTCACCTCATTTAATGGTTTCCAAAGTTAAACATTTTCTGAGATTAATACGATCAAGGACAATGGATACCAATATTAAGTAGTAGTAAACAAACTAACTTTGTTAACAAATTATATAGGCCTAGATAAAATAAATGTTTTGCAATCCGTAAAATAGGAGGGGATTAGTAGAGGGATTGCACCTAGAAAGGAAGAGACCTTCATTGTCTAAAAAAAACAGTGAGCGTAACTTGCAGTCTCCACGACTTCAGCAATTGTCTCCCGCGACCTCGGCAACAGCCGTGAGCATAACGTGCTATCTCCGTGACATCGTTAATCGTCTCCTGCGACTGTGACAACACTCGTGAGAGTAACTTGCAGTCTTTGTGGCATCGGTAATCCTCTCCCGCCACTGCAAGAACACCCGTGAGCGTAACTTGAAATCTCCACGACTTCGGTTATCGTCTCCTTAGATGGCGGCAACATCCGTTATTGGCGACAGTGGTGATCGTCTGCCGCGGTTATAACAACATCCGCCATCAGCCTTTCGGTTAACCAATCACGCTCAGTGTTATCGCCCCTATACAGGAAATAAATAGATGATGGATACTAGGTCGGATATCCCGAGGAGTCTGTTATTCCAAGGTTGGATGTGAGGGATTCTACTGTACATATAACCCAGATTCATTTCATATTTTAGATGATGTTTTAATTTAGCAGTTCTGATTTGAAATGAGTGGCTAATCCTCACTACAATACTCAGTTTGGCCAATGACCATAGGCAAGGGTAAAATGATCTTGTATGAAACTTTCAACAAGTACAAAGTGGTTAAGTTTGTTTTATAAAGGTTTGTGGGATTACCTGTTTTTCGGGATGGATCAGGCTAAATCTATTACTGGAGCTAGGTCCCTCGGCTAGTGTCTTGAGCGTTGTGTAGAATTCCCCAATCAAACTGTGACGTCCACTATTGTTCCAATCCCAGCACATAAATTTAAGGCTTCGATCATAATCCCCATTACACAGTGTGCGGACAGGGATGTTAAAAGGTTTCCAGTGCGGATTTAAATTATATTTTACAACCTAAAAGAAAGAAATAAGTTATTCAAGTTTAATTGCTTTAGTTAAGTATCAATAATAACAATCTGATATTGTCATTAGATACAGAAGTCTAATGGACATTGTCAAAGCTATAGCTAAAAAAAAGTAACAGGAGTCATTAACATTACCACAATCAACACAGTGGTGATAGATTAATGCTCCCATACTGTAAGTCTCTTAAAATACAAAATAATAACACAGACTATTTGTTCCTTGTTATCTAGTTGTGAATTATTTAGTGACAAAGTTTTATCAGTCGCCTAGTAGCACTTAAACTTAGCTCAGCCATGGCAGATACAATCAAAGGCTTTTTCCTACAGTTACCAAAGTGGGCTTCCTTGCACTGATTATAGCACCCCAATTTCAAAGTGCCAATTTCAATTGGCCTTAAAACACAAAATTTCCCAATTTCTCCCTAGACCATTAAAAAGAGCTTAAAAAACATTAACAAATAATTTAGTATACCTATTAGTAGGGATAGTCAAGTCTCGAAATTTCGGGAAATTTTTGGGAAATTTTAAATCTTGATATACGAGACGAGATTTTTTTTTTATCCGAGATTTTTTAGAGACAAGAATTGAAAAAAAATTAAAAACGCCTGCAGAAAGTCAATGCAATACCCATACAGGAACGCATTGTAGTTGCGGTTTTTTAACGAAGGCGTTCCTATTTAATTAATTCTTTACATGTAAATATTACTTCATTTATTTTATCATTTGAGAAGTTTTGTTAAGTGTAAGCAGTATGAGACATGTTTTACTACTATAAACAAAGCCAAAACAAGTAACTATTTTATACTAATAAATTGCTTTTATTTTATGAGTTCTTTTATTTTAGGATAAGTTTAATTCTATCCTAACTGATATCACCATGTTAACTAATCGTAAGCATTTTTAATAAGTTAGGCGTAATTAATATATATTTTTTAAGCTGATGTTTTGTAATAACAGATTTTAAATATTCTTGCCTATTATTATAATTTTTTTATTTAAACAGTTATCTAACAATGTTACAAAATCAGGTAAAAATGTCGAACGTGCATTTCCCGTTGTGTATGAGAAGGGAAATCCCGTCTCAAAATTTTATGAGAAATAACAAATCTCAAACTAAAAATCCAATCTTGTCCATCCCTATTAAAGAGTTTTTGAAGGGCCATTGGTTACGGAGAAATAAAATACCCCCGCCGCAGCAAACCTGCAGACTTAGCGAATTTCCATTTGCCTGATTGGATTTAAACTAAAATGTCTCCTTAAAAATATCACATTTAGCCTATTCCCTGTTTAAACAGAATTACTGTAGTTTAATGAGTACTTAGGTTTGCTGCAACAGGGAGGGTAAAATGTTTTTTTTTATGTAAAATGTTAAAAGGTAGGCCTACTGTGGTTTAGTAAGAAATTAATGTATTTTCCAAATTTGATCAAAATTATGTTCATAAACAAGCAAACTACAACAGTTGACTTATTCTCCATAAGAATAACATAAGAATTTTGAAATTACAATTTTTTTGAATTTTCTCCGTAACAATTAGGCGCATTATAACGCTTCAATATACTAAATTATTTGTTTTTTTAAGCTCTACAAAATGGTTTAAAAAGAAATTGTGAAATTTTGTGTTTTTAGGGTCAAAAAAGGGAAAAACCCATTTTTACCCCATAAAACCCCCCATAAACCCCCGTTCCCATAGTCCGATCATGCTGGTTCGCGAACTCATTCAAGTTTATCCCGCCTTACACCTTCAAACCAAATTTCATCAAAATCGGACAAAAATTACTCAAGTTATCGTGCGGATGGACACATATATATATATATATATATATATATATATATATATATATATATATCTATATATAGATATATAAAAATTTGAACGAATGGTGTTTTTGGCCTCTGGGGACATCAAAATGAAAAAGTAAATCGGTCCCGGGCTTAGGTCTTACCATGAGACCTACGGTAATAGCTACTTCCCTATAGGGAAATTCGCTAAAAAAAACTGTAAATTTAAAATTACTATGTTATTCTTGTGGAGAATATTGTAAAATGTTGTAGTTTGCTTGTTTATGGATAGCAGCAAACCTAGGTACTCGTTAAACCTAATTTTATTTAAAAATATTTAATTTTAAATTAATTCAAGCAAATGGGAATTCGCTCAGTCTGCAGGTTTGCTGCGGCGGGGGTATTAATAGGGTTATGATGTTCATGCTATGTCAAAGAATATTCAGTCTCCAATGGGTCAAGCTCAATAAACGATATATTAACTAGCAATTTCATAGGTGATTTAAGCCTACTGCAAATTGATTACTTATTATAACAAATACCATTCTTCTGATTACAAGTAAATCAAGTAAGTTACCAAACCACTATAAAGAATGTTACATTTATTTCACATTAAGTGCTTCTTTTATTTCGTACCACTAAACTGTCATCAAACTACAAAACGTAGTTGTATGCAGACATATATGAACTGCAGTAGCCTACTTTAAATCTTACAACTCCCCAACAAATAGCCTATAATCAACAACGCTGACTATAATCAATAGCTTATACAACAACTTTTCAAGAAAACTCCAATGAAACAAGGAACATAATAAAAATTTGAGAACATTAAAACAAAAAGAGATATCACAACCAAATTTGGTATATCATACTACTGGTAATAGTAAACTACTTTTGTGTACATGGTGATCGGATGTCACCTATGGGGGACAGCCCATAGGTAGTAAGTTGAAAATCTTAAAGGTAATAGGTTGATATGTGCATTAAATCAAAGGTCTTGTTGAACTAAAAACGATGCCGCAAACTGGACCACAAATGGTCAACCGAGTCAAAAATGGCAGCTGTTTAAAGATTTCTTTAATCTGCGGTTTTGAATCTTCCAACGGCTGCCAGTTTTTACTCAGTTGTTCTTTTCAGCTCAAATTTGCGGCATTGTAATCTAGCCTACTAATAAGGCCTTTAATTTGATGTGCATATCGACCTATGTTTACGTTTATGATTTTCTTTCGTCTTTAGCAGGCCCCCCTGAGGAGGTAGCATATTATAGCATTGGAAATTCAATGAATCATTGAACAGCTGTCATTTTTGGCTCGAATTTCCATTTGAGGTCCGGTTTGTGGCATTGTTTTGAGTTCAATAAGACCTTTAGTTTGATGTACATATCTACCTTAAAGATTTTCAACTTACTCCCTATAGGCCGTCCCCTTAAGATGACATCTGATCACTATGTACACAAAAAAGTAGCTTACTATTACCAGTAATGATATGCCAAACGCGGTTTTGCTATCTCTTTTCGTTATAAAGTAGTCCTAAGACTTAATTGACACCGTGTATAATTGCACAACTAAAACTAAAACCTAAGGACTTTTTTTAAATCCCCAGCACATTCTAAGACTTTTTATTTAAAGAAACCATGATCATAAAAAAATTCAACAGCAGAAACCTCTGTTTTGTGAACTAAGCTGAATTCTCCTGATTCCATGGATTTGTAGATCTCTAGAAATGGATCTGACTTGCCAAACCAATCTTTTTTATCCAATTTGTGACCACTGAACTTCAAGATGACTTCATCCTTCAGGGCGGCCAACTCTTCAGCAGTCACAAACAGAAAGCCGAGATTTACTCCGCGCTGACCGCCCTTCTGTGTAAGAGGAAGTTTCACCTGCAAGAACATTAATATTAACTAAATAGTCAAGGTTTACGATAAAAAAAAAACTAATACAATAAATATTATTGTAAACTTTATAAACTTCTTTAAAATATTTTAATTTAAGAGTAGATTGTTTCAATGGTTTCTGGTAGTTTTTTATGCATTTTCTTTCCAATACATTGTGGAAGATTTTCAAAAGAAGCAAGTCTGTGTATGGGCAGTTAGAAGTTGGGTCGATTTTTTAGTTGAGTAATCGTAATTGCGGGTTTCATTCAAAAATAAAGTGCATTTTTTAAAGTAAAGTATGGTTTGCAAAATTTAACACGGATGGTAAACGTTAGTAAATTCATTTTTATGAATAGAGATCTACAGGATTGTCTATGACCACAAAATAATATGATTTGTAGGACTTTTTTGTACAGTACCTACTTTGAATATAGATTTGGCTTGTGTCCTGTTGCCCAAAAAAACATAGTTTTGGAGCAAATGAAGCATTATAAATCATCCTCCTCTAGTCAAGGTCTGTAATACCCTGCAGGACAGATATACTGATGCAAAAAGTATTTAATCTTATATCCTAAAAACTTTTGCAAAACTTATGACAGCTAGCCTGCCTGACCTTACGACTGGACCGAATTACACGCGGTTGGTACCAGATGAAAGATATTTACCTGTAGATGTGCAGAGTCCCTTTATAAATTAAAATAGGCTCACAAAAATAAGGACCAAAAATGAATTAAAAATTTTGAAAAAATTAACATGGGTCTTATGGGTTGCCATGGTGGTGACGAAATAATAACAATATATAAACAGAAAATCAAAACAAATTGAAGACATTCCATCACATGTTTTATTTACAGCGTGTGATGAAAATTGAGAAGTTTGCACAATACAAACTTTTACCACGGGGCGAGCTCTCGTCTTATATATTAAAAATCTTTTGCAAAACTTATGACAGCTAGCCTGGTCATACTAATGGACCGAATTACATGCAGTTTGTACCAAATGAAAGATATTTTTCTGTAGATGTGCAGAATCCCTTTATATAAATTAAAATAGGCTAAAATATAAGCATGAAAAATGTATTTTTAATTTTAAAAAAAATTAACATGGGCCTTATGGGTTGCTATGCTGGTGAAAGAACAACAAAATATAAACAGAAAATCCAAACAAATTCCAATCATATGTTTTATTTACAGTGTGGGGTAAGAATAGGTCTGTACATTACATATTTTTGGTCAAGTTTTCGACCACTGGATGACTTCTAATTTTTTAAATAAAATATCTAAGCCTCGTGATGGACTAATCAACACATAAGTAGACTTCCTATCCTATTATAAATTTTGAAGCTAATTTTTCGTGTCTAGTTCATGTCCGGTGACACTGGTGGCTAATGTCGATGAAATTTTGTTTCTATTATTTTAGGGTTAATTTCTTGATTTGTGCTTTACTGTTTGGTTATACTAGTGTACCTATGCGTTACAACGAATAACAGTCATAATTTCCAATGACTTTATAAGAGTCAACTCAAAGATTATGGAAATACTCAAGATGTACACAACAGTTAGATATAATCAAATTTTTTTGTAAATATCTTATCTTTTTTCAAAAGCTGATTTAGTTTTTTAGTGTTTTCTACAAATGTTTCCCACTCATAGTCGCATTAGATTTTCTATAATAACGATTATAAATGAAAAAAAAACACATTATTTATAGGCCTATTTGTTCTACTTGGTTGTGTTTTTTGACTTTCCTATGTTTCCATTGTTTGCAAATCGGCTATTTCAATGATTGCTCAAGAAATGTAGCACAGTGTTAATTCAGTTTTATTTTTAGTATATCAAATTGTCCAGGATTTCTCGCTTTTTTCCATTGTAATAATTACACCAACCCAAATATCGTCTACAGATGCAATACGCCAAAGAATATTGTCTACGTGCAACATGCCTACGTACAATCTCCAAGAAGTGGTAAAAAAGGCAGTAACCAACCCATACAATAGATATAAGTTAACTCCATAAGAAATAATTTTAAGAGTTACTGTGATATTAGGATTTTTAACTGATTTGGTAATAGAACATTATATTGCAAAACATGACACGATGCAGAAGAAAATTGATTTTAAAATCTGAAAAAAAAACACTGCAAATACTTCATTTTGACAAATTTAGTAAATCACAATTCAAACATTAACAGCTGTTTCATTAAAAAGTAGTGTAAAATTATGCATATGGTCGTAATGTAAACAAATCTGCTGAGGGAACTTAAAAGGCGGGGGGCAGAGCTCTAAGAAAATTTACCTCGTTTATCTTTTCACAGCTCATCTACAGACCAAAACCTTTCTTTAGAGACCCCTACCAAGTTTCTACACCCAGCCATTCTCTCAAATTAGCTGTGACAAAACCCATGTTTTCATCCATAAGAATAACATGGTATGGGAATTTAAAGGCCACTGGGGCAGAGCCCCAAGGGAATTCACCATGTTTCTCTTTTGATGGCTCATCTACAGACCAAGACCTTTTTTTAGACACCTCTACCTAGTTTCTACGCCCAGCCATTCTCTCAAATTAGCTGTCACAAAGAAAATCAGTTTCAAATTAATTTGGTTATATATAACTAGGTGATATATAGTTTTTTAACATATGTTCATTAAATAATTGTTTATGTTTACCAATTTTGTAAATAGAATGGATTGAGTAAAATAATGTATCTTTTGAGATTGAATCTAATTATTATACAATAAATGGCGACGAGGATGACGGAAATAGGAATTATAAAAAAGTTGAGATCAGTTGCAAAAGGTCAAATTTCCAAAGCCTTTTTTAAACTAATTGTAGAAATTAAATCAACTGACAATATGACAAGTGCAGAGATAGATGTGAGGTTAGACAGTCTAAGATCGTATTGGAAAGGGTCTGACTTAGGGGAGGTACGAATGAGGCATTAGTTCAAAATTCCTCCGTGAACAGTGCTGTAGTAGAGAGCACTTTGGCAATGAAGGTTTACTAATACTAATCGCAAAAATAGTTCTGTTCATAAAATAAAATTATAAGTACCTCAAATTCAATTTGATAATTGTTTGATTATAAAATTAAACAATCATAACCTAACCGAACTAACCAAACTTGCTGATAATGAAATAATATAAAAAAAGTGTATTAATAGAAAAAATAATTCTGTTCATTAAATAAAACCAGAAATTACTCAATTAAAATTTTATAATAACTTAATAATAAAATTAAACTGTCATAACCGAACCAAACCAACCAAACTTGCTGATAATGAAAAAATCTTAGACAAAAAGTTAGTGCCACCAGCGGGATTCGAACCCGGGACCTTCAGCTTACCAGCCCGGCACGCTAACCACTAGTCCAGCGAGGCCGATAGCTAAACACCGTATTGTTACGGTAATGGTGTTCTCTCAGCTAATAAGAAGCCCACAGCTGTCATCGTAGGCTCCTGTATACCTCCCCTGAGTAAATTCCTATTGGAAACAATTTGAAGACACACAAACCAAAATTGAACTAGCCACTGAAGATGAAGAACAAGATGATCTAGCCTCATATAGAAGTGAGACAGAACAAATGTACATCGTTTTAGAAGCAGCTTTGAGACATGAAAAGACACGGCACAATAATACAGAGCCTACAGCAGCAAATCCACATAACAAGGAACCAAGCACAACATCAAACATTAGTTTTGTTCCATATGATGAAGAAGAATCTTTTAGGAATTTCATTAAAAGATTTGAAAATTTCCTTGTACTTAAAGATGTAAATGAAGAGAAAACAAAGCTTTGTAGTTTACTACATGCACTTTCACCTAAACTACATGAACGACTTCTAGACATAGTTGCCCCTGATGACCCTTACAAGAAGAACTATGAAAATGTAATTTCTATTTTGAAAGAACATTTAGAACCATTACCAAGTGTACTAACATTACAACATCGCTGTGTGTGTAGAGTAAAACAGACGAATGAGTCAATCATTGAATTTGCTATGGAATTAAAGAAACTGTCCAAAGATTTTAAGTTTAACTGTGATTGTGGAAAGTCAGTAACTGATATGTTATTACGCATGCAATTGGTAAGAGGACTTCACGACAATGATATTAAAGGACAACTTTTACAGAAGAAAATTGTAACTACTCTTAAGGAAGCACTTGAACTTGCAACATCACTGGAAGCTTCGAGAACTGAAAGCAACATGATGACTGCTCACACAGCACCACCAGAAGTTCCAGTGCTCAAGGTTGTAGACAAATCAGACAAGAAAATGGGACAGATACTCTGGGAGCAAGAACACTGTACAGGAAACAAATAAAGACCAATATTCTCCTTCCCGTTCAAAGTTTTCAGGTCTACAAGGACGGTGCTATCGGTGTGGAGATAAATACCATAGAGCAAATACATGCAAGTTGAGAAATGAATTTTGCAATAAATGTAACAAAGTAGGACATATTGCAAAAGTATGTATGGGAGGACCAAGAAAATAACCAATCGACCAACTAGACTACAGAGAGAATGAAAAACAGTTAGATAATACTACCTGTGATTCTTATAAACTTCAAGTAAATAACAGTGATAAGTTCATTATGAAAATAGAAATTGAAGGAAATCCATTATCTATGGAACTTGATACAGGAGCAGCGCTATCTTCAATCTCATTTCAGGACTATAAGAGATTAGATATCAATAAGAGAATGTTCAAATCACATGTACAGCTTCGCACATATACAGGTGAAAACATACAAACTAAGGGCGTAGTATACGTTAGTTTCCATTACAAAGAAAAGATATATTTTGGGAAACTATATATTATCGACCAAGATGTTGAACCAATATTTGGTAGAGACTGGATAAGAGAAGTTAATTTAGAAATTGGTGATATTAGAATGTTGAATCAAAACTCATCTGAGTTGACACAGGTTCTTGGCAGTTATTCGGATATATTCAGTAAGGAAATTGGTTGCATTCCAAATTAAAAAGGACACCTGAATGTAAAAGAAGG